CGTTAGGGCTCGAAGGCCCATATTTTTGTTTCCTTATGTTCCAATTTGTCTTTTAATTTTAAAATCTTGAAATTATCTTTTTAACCTGTTGGCCTATATGAATTATGAAATTAAATGCATAATTAAGTTGGAACATATGTGCTGAGTCGGGAAAACGGGTACGTCATCGCTAGGACCCACATAGGCTGGTTTTGATACCATATAAGAAACAGAGAAAAAACGGGTACAGTCTTACGCACGCGAAACGCACCATGACAGGGAAAACCCAGATGAAACCCAATGAGATTCCATTTCAAAACCAATTGGTGGAAGAAGGAGTAACTCACTAAACTTATAAGTTAGGCCTATTTTTCCTGTATAAATAATGTGGGACAACTCACAAGTGATATTCTAACACTTAAAATTACGAATGCAATTTTTTTGTTTTTGAAATTCCACAAACATCAAATTAATTAGTAATGATCCTCATATTGAATATAACTGGATTTTCCTTTCTTCTCCGAGTAACATAGCCAGTTATATTAACTCATTTAGGAGGTCAGAATGGTAATCTAGGGGAGGTGGATTACAATTTACTTTGTAAAATGTTATGGTTAATTTCGAAAAAAATGGTATGGTTAGTCATTAGTAGAATTTTTGAGTTTATATTAGAATGTGGTTCTTATTAATAATATAAGTTGTACACATATTCACTGGGGCGTAGGCAGAATTTTTTTTCACCCGGGAGTGCAAAATGTATTGATCTTATTCGAATTGAATCATCATGCTACATAATTTCGTTTGACATGTGAAACCTCAAGCTCAACTAGCTTGTATATTTGCACGAGCCAAATTCGAACAACTAATTGAACTTATCTATCAAACAAGTTCGAGTATTATAATGTAAATAAAAAACATTCAAACACTGACTTGAATAAAATTTTTCCAATGAACTTTATTTAACTATATAATGAAATATAAACAAAAAAAGAAGATAACAATGGCCATAATAAGTTAAAAAGAAAAGTGAAAAGAGACTCAAATATGTTCACGTGTATAATTTCTAGATTTAATCTAAAAAATTTAATTTATTTTGGGTCAAAATAAAATTTATACATGGCTAATATTATATAACGCGAATTAAAATATTTCTTACGAGTGCATAATTAAGAAAGACGAAAAGTTGAAACCGAGCTAGAGTTCACGTTCACCCCAACTTTTGGAAAAGCCCAATTGTATTTTCATTTTTCAATCTAATACATCGTAGTCGTTCCTCTATCTCTCTTTGCATTCTCCTTATCCATACAATCTACAATACCAAATCTAAAATGGTATCATAGCAAGCCTAATCTAGGACATGTGATGATTCTCTTTGTGCTAATCGAGTCCAATCTGATACGACTAGAGAAGGATTCACAAGCAAGGAGGCGTGTTTGAATATCATTTGTGAATTATCCACATTGATTCTATAGGGAAAATGAGTAATTTATAAATCTAGTGAGCTACTCCTCTCATCACCAATTGGTATTGAGATGAAACCTCACTGAAGTGCACCTAGCTAGGCTCACCTTCTTATGGTGTACTATACCTTTATGGACCGCACTCTCTTCCTTCGAATATATAACTCTAACATGG